TAGTCACTTTATATTTTATTGCTGTCAAGGTCTTACTCCTTACTTGTGACTCTCTGACTGTTAAACCGACTGTATAATTAATTTAAAATAGTTCTTAATTGATTTTATTAAACTTATTATATTGACCACTGTCTTAATATTGCACTGGCTGTCGACTGATGCGGTCCTGACTTTAATGCTACTAGAAAAAAGACTATCCGCCACTGTGTTGATGCATGTAGCGGTGACAAATTGCCACTCTCTGTTCATTAAACAGCTGATAAAAGGGCCTCTTATTTACGTATTTATGTATCTGTTTCTTGATGCTGCTCTGACAGATATTATGTATAATAGCACAAAGCTGCAGCGGTGGGGTGGGGAGTAAAAAGCAACCAGTGCTTTCAAGCTGTTCAGACACGACCTCGGAGTGTGTTCACGGGCCTCCGTGCGGCTCACAGAGGCGGAATGATGAATAGACGAGGTGCTGTCGTATGCCCACCACGAACGAAAACTTCACGTTTCTGTACCGCTATTCATCAAGTCGGGGGAAGTGAGTTTACGCATCTATCACCTGTCAACGATGTGCACGCTCCCCCCAAACCTGCCATTATAGAGTAATTAGATTTCTCTTTGAGTGAAGGGGAGAGGCCCGTGGTACACAACACAGTTCGGTATTTGTTTTTTTGGAAGGAGAAGAGAAGATATTAAGCTTTTTGTGTAGTTTGACTGTGGGGTTGCAGTTTAAGAAAGCGTTCGCAGTCCCTATTAATGGAAGGACACACATAGACGCACACAAAACTCACACCCTGCGTCCTTGCTTCATCCCGGAGTTATTCACAGAGGCATAAAACATTCAGAGTGCTATTCTCTGTCTGATTGGCAGCGTACAATACCGTGGAACATCACGGAGGAGCCATTATTGTGGCAACTTTTGATGTTTAAAAACGGCAGTGTTTAATTTAGCTCCACTTTTTTTTTCCCTCACTTCCACTTGGTCAAAGTGAATCATTTGCATGCGCTCAGAGAGAGAATTAGCCGGCGAAGGTAATCAAGCAGCCCTATTCCGCCAGATGGCTTTCTCTATAGACAGTAAATGGGCACTTTTTAACTGCGTTTTATTCCATGTTTCTGCTTCAGATAGCACTGTCATTGGACGTGATCTACCTGGATAATAAACGTAATTTCTGCAGGCCGTTATTAGATAAGACCTTTCCTGCCACCGCATTAAAACTAACAGCTTTTCAGATCTAATTTTCCATGTCAATGCAAACAAAGAAACCAGGTGTGTTTGTTGTACGTGCAGTAATGCCGTATTTTGTGTCCCACCGTTCCCACTCCATGGAAATTAGGTGGAATATTTATGCAGATTGCGGCAGGACCCAGCCATTGTCGTGTGCGGCGGGGCCGGAGAGCGTTAGACAAAAAGGACGTCTCTGTGCCCCCCTTTCTTGGCGGGGACGAGGCAGGACGTGCCACACGTGCCTGTAAAAGGTCTTCATTTGTTTGTTGTTAAAGATCTAATTAGGAGGATGAGGGGAAACAGGACGGGATGGCAGCTTGTCTAATTAAGAGGAGCGTCCAGGGTTCCCTTTGAACCTCAAGGACGCCCATCTATTAGAGGCCCATCAAAAATGGATTCAGCCTAAGTGCATTTTTGGTTGCTTTCCTTAAATGATTAAAGATGTGCGCTGGAGTGGGCTTTCCCCTCCTCTCCGGGAAGCCGAAACACTTGAAGATTCTGAGCATACCTCAGGCATTTCATCCGTTTTTGCGCAGTTAGCGGGAGAGAGCTTGAACGTCGTCATGCATCTGTGATTTATTCGCGTTTGGGAGTGTAGGTACTGGCAGGATGGGGATTTTCATGCTCGTTTCTGTTTACTGTTCGTAAGCATCTTTCCAGTGCTTGTGCCTATGAATTTCTCTAGTGTGTTTTGGCACTCTCTGAAACAGAATGCAAAAACAGGAATTTGCAACATGCATTTTATTTAGCTTTTTCTTGGAAAGGCGCCTGAGAAAGGTACAATACATAGACAAAAATATGTCGACGGCAAACACCACACCTGTATGTGCTTGTTGAACATTCTTACAAATCGGCCGTTATTAGATAAGACCTTTCCTGCCACCGCATTAAAACTAACAGCTTTTCAGATCTAATTTTCCATGTCAATGCAAACAAAGAAACCAGGTGTGTTTGTTGTATGTGCGGTAATGTCGTATTTTGCATCCCGCTGTTCCCGCTCCACGGACATTAGGCGGAATATTTATGCAGATTGCGGCAGGACCCAGCCATTGTCGTGTGCGGCGGGGCCGGAGAGCGTTAGACAAAAAGGACGTCTCTGTGCCCCCCTTTCTTGGCGGGGACGAGGCAGGACGTGCCTGTAAAAGGTCTTCATTTGTTTGTTGTTAAAGATCTAATTAGGAGGATGAGGGGAAACAGGACGGGATGGCAGCTTGTCTAATTAAGAGGCGCGTCCAGGGTTCCCTTTGAACCTCAAGGACGCCCATCTATTAGAGAGGCCCATCAAAAATGGATTCAGCCTAAGTGCATTTTTGGTTGCTTTCCTTAAATGATTAAAGATGTGCGCTGGAGTGGGCTTTCCCCTCCTCTCCGGGAAGCCGAAACACTTGAAGATTCTGAGCATACCTCAGGCATTTCATCCGTTTTTGCGCAGTTAGCGGGAGAGAGCTTGAACGTCGTCATGCATCTGTGATTTATTCGCGTTTGGGAGTGTAGGTACTGGCAGGACGGGGATTTTCATGCTCGTTTCTGTTTACTGTTCGTAAGCATCTTTCCAGTGCTTGTGCCTATGAATTTCTCTAGTGTGTTTTGGCACTCTCTGAAACAGAATGCAAAAACAGGAATTTGCAACATGCATTTTATTTAGCTTTTTCTTGGAAAGGCGCCTGAGAAAGGTACAATACATAGACAAAAATATGTCGACGGCAAACACCACACCTGTATGTGCTTGTTGAACATTCTTACAAATCTACATTCGTATGGACGTTGCTTTGGTTCACCTCATTCTACTTTTTATGTTTTTGTAAGGAGATTTCAGTTTGTAATATTTATTTGTCATATTCATTAATTTAGTCAGTTTAAGCCGTGAAAACAACATTTTATTTGACCGGTGCCTAATTAAACGAAATATCCAAACATTTTATGTATTAATTTAAACGTATCAACATGAAAATGGTCCTTGTGAAGACTTAAAAGACTTAATTTGGTTAAGTGAGTTGTTGTAAAAGAGTATATTTACAGTGTGACTTAAAAAAAACCTTTGTTTACGAATATTTTTGTTTGAGATTCACACTGGTGTCCACATACTTTAGGTCATGTAGTGCATAAGCAATAGCAACACGTCTCTGGGTCTTTAATAGATGTGTTTGGTGACCAAAAATGCAGCCATTGTTGTTTTTCCATTAGAGCAGACTGAAGGTTTGGGCTGAGGTGAGCAGTCAGCAGACTAGCGGTGGATAATTAATGAGTGATTGGAGAAGGTCAGAGCAGCGCAGCTACAGCCTGTGAGAGAATCAACTTTCCTTTCTCTTTTCTTTTATTTATATTTCTTTATCACTCCCTCAACTCTTCTTAAATGTAGGCTGGCATAGACCTCATTTGTTCTGCTGTGTATATCTGAGATCCTCTGAAACTAATTAAAGCAGAGGAAAAGGAAGAAGAATCAAATGTAGTACCTCACCAAGGCTGCTCTAATGAGATGCTCTCTGGGCTGATAGTTTGGCTGAGATAAAACTCTAGCAAAGGGACTATATTGACTATTTATAAACAGTTAGCGCAGGTACACTGGTGTTCTGTGAGTTCTTTCCATCCCTCTCTTTAACACCTTCCCTCAAGTTCACAGTTCTACGTCTGTAACAACAGCAGGCAGTGCAGGACGGGGTCAGCTTAATTACACCCCATCAACTATGGATAATTTTCAGGTCTTCTTCTCAGCTACAAGGTTACATCTTCTCATATTTGTCTGCTTTTCACACAGAGAGTGACAGACTTAAGTTTGGTTATGTAATAGTTGTTTTTCATCACATTATGTTTGCAAGCAACATTTTGAGAATTAGCATATCATTTTATTTATATATTTGTTTGTGTACAGTGGCCCCAAAAATATTTAGATGCTGAAGTCACACTTTTAAATGTCTGAATCTTATTGCATTATGTATGAAATATCAAACAAAGTAGCATCAAATATTTTTGAGAAGTATTTAATTTCCTTTTATTTTGAAATAAATAGATATTTTGATATCTATTGCAATGACATTCATACATTTCTTTAATGTGACCTTACTATTCAAAAGGCCACTGTTTGTAATATTTAAAAGCATACTTTTATTCATAATAGTTTGGTCAACAAACTGACACAAACACACACGTACTCACACACAATTAAATATTCTTATATTTGTAAATATTTTGACATTAAAGAAAAATTAACCACATTTTATAAATCTCATAAAGAGGATGACATGATTCAATACATGCTTTGTAGTTTGGTAAAAAATGTTAACCAAATAACAAGAATACCAGACAGTAGTATTCTAGTTATTTTCCTGCTTGATGTATTTGTGAATGCTGAATCCAAATTAGCATTTCAAATGATGAGCGTTCCTTTCTCAGAACATCTATTAAGGTCAGTCAGTTTTTATGTAATCATCAAAAGTTTTTTTAAACCATGACTTCTGTTTGCTTATTTGATCTGTAGCGTGTCAGTATCTCCATCTGCAGCAAACCCAAGTATTTATAGCATTATAGTGTAAAGTGGTGGTCTTCACACACTTGTTACACTGTAACATTCACACACACAGTCACACTGAGGGGAAACAGCAAGATGTGGCTTTACAAACTCACCATCTATCTTCCCAGTGCACGCTGCATTGTACAACCACGCAAGTCAGATATTAAGCATTGCCTCATAACATTACTATGCAAAGTCCTATTTCCCCCAATGATGGAGTCCCATCCCTCCTCCTCCTCCCTTCCTCCTCCTCCCCTGTACTGTATCTCCCAGGCTTCCCCGATTACGGTTTCTATTCCTCGCCAAGCGACCAACGGGGGCCCCCCTTCTCCTTTGCGGACTATGGCTCCCTGGGCCCCCAGGCGGCTCAGCTGCTGCAAAGCGAGCATGCCACATCAGCCTGCAACTCCCCTCTCCAGCACCTGGCCAGCCCGGATCAGTATAAGAGCCCAGGTGTGTACCCGCCTCTCCTTCATTCAATGATTGATTTGATTCATGCGGTTTATTCATCACCCTGCCATTCATTAAAACAAGAGAGAAAGAGAGAGGGGGGACAGATGAGAAGTGAAAGCGAGGGATTTGTGCATCCTTGCAGTTTGCTGCATGTTGAATTGTGGTAGCATTGTCATTTCGCCTGTGGATTTGAGGGAGTGTATATACGTGCCCGCTAATGCGTATGTACTGTCGAGATATATGCGATTTGGCTGCGCTCACAATCCCTGTGCAATTAACCAGGAGATGTGACGTATGCGTTCATGCTTGCCAGTTCATATCTCCTGCAGTGCATACTCAGACACGTATATATGTATTACACACCCATCGGCTCCATACCGCTCAACTGTCAGTCTGCTGGCATGTGATAAATGATATCCAAACATCCGACGTCATGTACATGAGTATAAAATGACAAGCCATTTGTTGGAAGTTGATTGTATTGCTTAGTTGCCGCATTTGGACAAAGTATCACATATTGAGATGTATTGTTAATGCATCCCTTTTGTTTTTGTTCTGTATGCATTCTGTTTGTTCACACATACAGTGGCTCCAAAATGTATTTAGACACTTAGAAGGATAGTTCACCCAGAAATGAAAATTCTGTCATCATTTAGTCACCCTTGTGTCATTCCAAACCTGTGTGACATAGGTTCTCTTGTGGAACACAAAAGAAGATATTGAGAAATGTTTCCTGTTTTGTGTTCTGATGGGGGGGGAAAATGTCATACAGGTTTGGAACAACATGAGCGTGAGTAAATGATGACAGAATGTTCATATGTGGGTGAACTATCCTTTTAAAATAAATGAATGTCATTGCAGTACACACAAAATGACAAACCAAGTGGCATTTATTCTAAAGACGAATAGAACAAGCACACTTTTCAAGCAAAATATTTCATAAAAATAAGTTTGTGAGGTTTTAAATGATAAAACACTTGATTAAACTTGAAGAGACTTCAAGTATTTGGGTACTTTCTGGTTGTCAAATGTTAGTGGAACAGTTCCATAGAAATCTCAGATGAAGCAAGAAAAAAAATCCTCTTGGTTTGCTGTTTTGTTATCTAATGCAAATAAGTTCAGGCATTTTAAATGTGGCTTAAGTGTTCAAATACTTTTTGTGGCCACTGGATATAGAATTACATAAACTAATAAGTGAAAATAGCAAGAGTGTGTAGCATGGATGAAAAGACGTCTTGTTTTGACAGCACATTTAAAGGGAAGAATTTTGCTATTTCCAAACTCTTGGCATATTTTTTAATGCTTCATGGTAGTGCACCACTGAACTGACGTTCGGCCATCTTAAAACAGTAGTGCTCCACTTTATATTCAGTAGCCTGTAGTTCAAAGGAAGGCAGTCTTGAGATCTTGGCAATAAACAAGACACATCTTAGCGAAAAAAGGAAAAATAGTGCCGTCAAGAGCCATGATAATGGCTAATAAACTGTCTTGCAGACATTAAGGTATGTGTGGATTAGGCATCCACGCCAGCAACCAGACTGTTTCTGGTTAGGGAATGCCAAGGAATGTTGATGGTATTGGCGGTTGCCGATTATAATGTTCTCTACATTTCTTTCAACCATGTGAGCAATATACTGTACTTAACCTCCAAGATGTGTCCTTTTGGCAGCACTTTCCTTTTTTTTCTGTAAATTTAATTTTAAATGATTGCATGATCTTAGGCACATAATAGGAGTTTTTGAAATAAATCCATCATAGTTGGTAGTGTGTATGAATTCATTTCACAGCAGTATTGAGCTACAAAAACAATTTCCTAATCTGTTGATGAGCACATCCCCATTGATGGCTTCAGCAAATCAACATGTCTTATTAGCGCTGGTCTATTGGGAATACTGAAGCCAGTCATAGCTCAGGACGTGATGCTAACCAGGGCTGTCACTTACAGTGTGCTGGTTTCCCCCTCTTATTTTAGAAGCCTTTATTCGTGACAAGGGAAAGGCTGATTTGACTGTGTAAGCTTTGATCCAGATCAGTCCAAGAACGATTTCAAGATGGAAGTTAACACTTAGGAGAACTTAGGAAGTATGTCATTGTTTGTCTGACACCCTGCAGATGCCCTGAAGCTTCATACTGTGCTTGCTCAATTCCTGAAATATTGACCACCAAAATAATTTGAATCCGTATTTTTGTTTTAGTTTTGTATTGCTTAGTTTTTTGTTTTCCAGTAAACAACAACAACAAAAAAACTAAGATGGATATATTATACTCATTTATTCTCTTTAGCCTATGATGTTGCTTGAGAATATAGGGGTTTCTTAGTTGTTTATAGTTTATCTGCATGTTCTATCTTTATTTTATGAGCTAGGTTTTTTGCTTTTTATATTGCTTAATGTTTACAATTGTACAGCATTTTGGTACAACACTTGTTGTTTTTAAATGTGCTTTATAATAAACATGAACTTGAACTTGAAATTAATTTACCTGAAATGCAAAATTGTAAAGGTAAAGAAAAAGAAATATTGTTGCTGTTGTTCAAAAACAATATCTTGAATTAAGTGTTTTCTTTTTTGGTCATATTATTGTTTTTTATTATTATTAATATGATTAAAATCATGAATCTCAATTTTATTGAAAAGATTTATTCACGTTTTAGTAATAATAAGTGTAATTCAGGATATACTATTATATATGATTATATTATTAAAATAATCTTATTTATTATTTATTTTTAAATTTTTATTTTTATATTTTTTAAGTTTGCTTCTAAAGTAAAAATTTTTTTTTTTTTAAGATGTTTTGGTATTTTTACTTTTTTTTTTTTTTTTTTTTTTACTTAAAAACAAGACAAAAATACTGATTACTAAATTATTTACCCATTACTTTCCAGGACTGTAATTATTATGTCAATTTGTTATCCCTTGCTAATTATGCATCATATTTTGCATCATAGTGGGCTAGCTGCAAACAGGATGTACACTAGCAACATCCATTTTCCCTTCCTCTCAGATCTAGCTGTGGATATACATGCTTTCCCATCATCCCTAGAAGTAGCTGACGCTATTTTGATACACTGCCATTTAGAAGTGAGAGCTCTGACTGTAGAGCCGCTCACCTCACCTGTTGTCTGTGTTCTCATTTGTGTGAAAAGCAGACGGATTGTGTGAGTCTGCCTCGTTCGGTTTACCCACGGCGGCATATTGCCCCCATCTAACGTATTTGCTCTCTTACATGAGCCCTCCAGGCTAATATTCCATTCACACAGATATCTTTTACCCTCCTGAGTTTTTTGGAGGCTGCTGCAGTAATAGACTCCCCCTTCAATGGGCACTGATCTGAAGGCCTCCGCCTGTGGAGGAACTTGATTTAATATTCGCTTATTAATGAAAGTGTCATAGAGGGCCGTGCGTAGGAGAAAAATTGAGCATGGCACAGCAGGGGGCCTCAAAGTTTCTGAGAGCATTCATTTAATTTAATTCATGCATTTGTTTTTATTTTCCTTAATTCGCCTCTCAACAGCAATGAAATGGTGGGGTCATCTGCAAATGACAGCAGCCATGGCTCAAGTGGTCTGATATAATTAGTCTAATTGTAATTTTCCCTCCAAAACCCCCCAGCCCCGCCTTGCTCCTTTTGCAAATTTGTCAGTATTTCTGCTGTGTGGATTTGTGTTTAGGTTCAGAGGTTCCGACTTTGGGAAACAAACTTTGCAGCCAGGATCCTCACATCTGAAAATCAGTGTTATTTTAGTATTATTTATGTGCTATAATATGTATGCTTTTTTAAATATTACTATTAATATTATTATTTCAGTTTTAGTTAGTAATCTTAGTGCTTAAACTTGTTTCAGTTAGTTACAAAATGTCTAGTTTGTTTTTTTATTTAGAACAGGTTTTTTTGTCAATTGAGAAATCTTACCTAACTTAAATATTTCTTTCTAACCATGAAACTCTATTTTGCTTTTTTTTAATTATTAAAATATGTTTTTCAAACTTTTCACAGTTGGATATCATAAACCGCTAATAGCTGTTTGTCCTTTGAAATTTTTTTTATTGTGTCTGTTGGTGAAACGGCATCTGTCATAAAAACATGCCAACACATCATTTCTCATATGTTTGTTTTGTGTTTTTAAATGTTAGTTCTAGAGACAACTTTATTAAAACTTTGATAAACTTCTGATTCCACAAGTTATTTAAATAAAACGTGTACATGGCAACATCTTTGATTAGAATTGCCCATGTCACTTACATCAGCGAGGGCTAAACTATCATTTTTACAATTTGACTTAAAATATATTTTATGTTGAATCTCTAAGCAAAATGACCCAGCAACATTTTATTTATTCACCAAAGTCAAGTTTTACTTGCAATTTGTGCTTGGTGAGGGTTTAATTTCGTCTTCCGGGCTTCATCTTCAACAGTTTCTGCTTTCAGACTCAAATGTAGCTTCAGCAAAAGTGGAGTCACGCTCGCAGTGGAGAGGAAACTCCATGATTCAGTCTTCAACGCATTTTACCCAAGACACCCTCAGCAATTTCCTGGTTTCCAGGCAGCTGCTAGGCCTGATAGCCCCCTGACGCTAACTGCCAGATAATCACCACCGTATATATTTAAAAAAAAATAAATAAAAAAATTGAGGAGGAGAGACCACTTTCTCAATGACAGGTGTTGATTAGATAGGGTGTGTTGTGGCAAAATCCCCCGTGCAATTTTCAGAAAGGGACTGAAGAACCGGCAGTCAAATTTGAAGGAGGATGGGTGTAGAGTACTTGATATGAGATTGGGAGAAAGGGAGTGTACGAGAGCGGAGAGAGGGTGAGGTTATGATAATGAAAGGAACCTGCAAGGAAGCAATTCATTCTCACTCACACTTTTAAATATCACTCCATCACACAGCAGTCCAGCTCACCTAAAACCTACCTGAGTAGCATGCATGCCAGGTGAATGCTGGCAAGATGCGTCTGACACACATAAGCGTACTTTCATCTGCATGAATGATGAGATGTATTGCTGCAGTTGTCGCTAGCTTGAAGTATAGCTGACTAGTTTGTGTTATGCAGTGTGTGTGTGTGTTTATCTGCAAGAATTGATGACCAGCTTCTTTATTTTTCATTTCATTCCTTTTGGATGAACCATAAAGAAGACATTAGGCCTCTATTCCTGAAAAACCTCAGGCAGTATAAACATACACACACAACGTCCTTTCAAAATATGATTTTGTGCTTATAGTGCATGCTTGTGCTAAGCTTGTTAGTCGTACTACACACCAGCAGTCCTGACTAGCAACCTTGCTCACATCACTGTTGGCACGGCCGCTTCTCCGGCAGGCACCAACCCACCCCGGCCTGGAGCCTTTCCTGGAGCCAGCAGTCCCGGGCCAGTGGCTGACCTGTATGGCCCCACCAGCCAGGACTCCGGTGTGGGCAACTACATTAGCGCTGCTAGTCCCCAGCCCGGCTCCGGCTTCGGACACAGCATTGCTGTAAGTACCCTATTCACCCCCCAGCAGTCCCGGGCCAGTGGCTGACCTGTATGGCCCCACCAGCCAGGACTCCGGTGTGGGCAACTACATTAGCGCTGCTAGTCCCCAGCCCGGCTCCGGCTTCGGACACAGCATTGCTGTAAGTACCCTATTCACCCCCATAACTGTTTATCTGTTCTGTGCCACCTAATTCATTCACCACCTTGCCCGAGTTAGCGCTTTTAGACTCATGTAGCTGCTATTGTAGTTTTTATAGAGTGAATATTCTTTGCCATAGTTTGACTGGAAAAAGTCCAGATTGAAAGTTCCTTTGGAAAGCAAGCAATTGGCTCAGCAGGTTGATCAAATTCCTAGTCGACTGAATTGCGTTGACATTTAAACTTGTTGAATATGTTTAAACATCAAGAGGGAATTCACTAAAAATAACTTTTTAGCATTTTTATATTGTAGCATATTTATAATCAGTATTATAGCGTATTTGCACTTGATGTCAGATTTGTTTTAGCCCTCAGTTCACGTAATTGTGTAATAGTGCAAATATGCCCACAAAATGAGCTGAATACAATTTGCATGGCACAGTTCACAATTTTGCAGTCCCAAATGCAGCAGAAAAAAATATCTTTGAAGCATTTTTCACTCAGAAATGTTTAGTAGATTTTACAAATAATTACAAAGAAACAGCAAAAAACACTTTCACTGGTATTTTCTTGTAAAACATACTCTAATAATCTTTATTCATAACTTTTTTACTGTATACCTAACTTGATCCATGCACCATACAAAATAAAATTCTATTTAAATAGAATCCTGTTGCAATTTGCATAGAAATGAGGCATGCTTGTACAAAAAGAATGACGATCATTTTAAATACACTTTTTTACACTGAAATACCTTGCACAAAAGTGGTGCATCTTTTTAATGAATTCCCTCCACATCGTTGTCTAGCTAATAAATTAATTAGCTAATACATTTTAAACAGTGGCGGGCCGTGCATTTTACACCTAGGCCTTCAGTGGCGTCCTACATAAATTAATCCATCTCTTCATACCATCATGATGCCACAGCTATAGAAACCATAAATATTACACAGTAACGCAGTATAACAGGGCACTACATAACAGACAGGTATCTTATGTAGCGAGAATGAATGCCATAGAAAGAACCCCAATTAACAATTGCGTGAAACCTCATCTGTAGCTGAAGCATTAACCTAACAAAATGACACAAATACAGTCCATCCGATGTTCTTACAGACATTTATTCACCCAAACGCATTTATACCTTACAGATAGCATTGGTATAAAACAAATAAGGGACCGGCTAATACAGCTCCACTCGGGAAACTGAGATATTCTCAGTTTCTGTATATCTGGCTTTATATCGCGCAAATAACATCAGCATACGTCAAAGAGTCAAAAATGAAAATTAACCTACCATACTCTAGTGGTTTTTCATCTTCACGAGTCTTTCACAGAGCTGGTGCCGAGGAGGTGTGTGGTTGTTTTTCGCAGTCATTAGGACTACTGTTTTTAGATTTACTAATTATAGTAGGCAAATATTTTTACAAAATGCACTGAAAATCTAAACCTGAGAAACAGTAATAAAAGTTTTACTAAGTTTTAATCAACCAAGAGAAAAGCTATGAACTGAAGAGAATAGACTATTGGAAATAGTTTAATACACATTCATTAAAAAATATATTAAAACTAAATCAGTGATTCTGATAGTGTTTAGGCCAGCAGAGAAGGCTTTGCTTGCCCTGACGGCCCACCACTGATTTTAAAATTGAATTTGTGTTGAAGGAATAAATAATTCTAACACAACTAATAGGACTAAAAGAATGTGTGATATGCGGGTATGTGAAATCAAAAGAAGCAAATACATGTGGAAAAAGTACTAAATAAATCATCTCAGATGCATTAGGTTGCAATGGGTCCAAAGGTGTAATAGATGTGCATGTTTTACCCATACTAATTATCAGGAATAAGGCTATAAAAACGTCTCTTTTGAAGGCTGAAAAATGTGAAATCACAGTCTCATTAGTGCTAAGCAGGTGCCCTGGCAAATAGCTCAAGTTAGATAGCGTTGGTTTTAGCATTGCTAACATTTCTGCATTCCCACCAGCATTCCTCTCTCTCTCAGGCAACTTCAGGATAACAAACTGTGAACTTGTACCGGCTGTCAGCAGCAGTGTGATGTGTCAGTGTGCTTTTGTTCATGTGCCAGCCTGGAGGACAGAAATCTCACAATTAGTTCTTCTCTCATTTTCAACCCGGTATTTTGTTTCCCGCACACAATGGCTTTTTTATTTTTCGAGCAGATGATGGGCATACCAGAGGCAGCCTTTGAAAGGTCCCCCACACAAAGTGCATATGTAAATCAATAAGGCGATAATCAACTCTTGTGAGAAACCCTGTCATAAGAATATGTTGTCTTGCCCTTTGAAGCCATAGGCATTCATTATTCCTTCCGTGCATTCGTTTTTAACCTTTAATGGAGCAGAGAGATGGAGCAGGAGTCAGGTGGAAGAGAAAAGGAGCAGGGCTGACTCGCAGGGGGGTTGATGAGGGCACCGCACTAAATCACAAGCTGCCGAGGGAATTACCGGCTCCGGACGTTTTTTGAACCGCCGTCCAGATCTGCTGGAAAAATGAATAAGAGCCTTTGTATGTGAGGACACTGTTTATTGCCTATCTGCACACACCTCTGATTCATTCTGCTTTCAATGCCCCTCCAATCTCTTGTTTGTGAGGAAAAGCAAATTACTTTTTTTCTCTCTCTCTCTTCTGCCCTTAAGTACAGTTTGCAAAACAGACCGGGCACTCATTAAATCTAAACGGGATTTTCAGAATAACAATGTCACCTTGCGCTTGACTTTCAGATGGAGTTTTTCTAACCTAAATAGTCAAATTTAGGTTGGCCTCAAACCCTCAGAACATCTCACTAGTGATTGACAGTGTTCTAGAGGAAGAAAGACTTTTTTCTTCAGCTGTCTCACATGAACTGCTGTTTCTGTTAGCCTCTGTAGCATCCTCACAAACTGAAAAGCTTTTTTATAAAAGATTTATTTCTATAAATGTATCCACCATTTTCTTACGCACCTTGATCACTTGCGAAAATTATGGGAGTAACTTCTGTTAAACTGTAAACAATTAGCTTGTGAACAAAATAATAATTTTTTAAAAACTGGGTACATTAAGGTGACATTATTCTACTCTCCCTTCAGCCATTAAAAGGAAATTTTAAATTGTTAAAGCATTAACAAATGACTTTCTAAAAACCACGCTTAACCCCCAAATCTCGATTCTTTCTGCAGATATATTACAGACATGTTAAATATCACTGTGGTAATGTCTATATGTTGCCATAATCAAAAATTTCCATTAACATTGAGAGATAGTATTTCAAAGTGATTACAAATATTGTATTTACCTGCTTTAGAAACATTCCAGTAAACACTGCTAATAGGGATTAGAAGCAGAAAGGGGAGACAATTACATTTGAAAGCATCTGTGTGAAAACAAACCTGCAAAGAGACGTGAGGATTTTTGGGCAGAAAAATGAGAGATTCTTAGTGCATTCCAGTGAATTATTCATGGGATGTATCGTAAATTAAATCAAGAGAGCAGACCACAAATGCACAGTGTATGTTGTCTTTTTTCATATTGTTACAGCGGAATACAAGGGAAGAAAGAAAATAACCAGGAGGAAAAGAATGCAGTGGATTCAAAAGAGCTCTTGCCATAGATATTCTTCTTATACCAGTTCACATTAAAATACCAGGCGTTACGTTATTTCTCTGACGTCTGAAAATAGAACACAAAGGAAAATTTACAGCTCATTCAGTCAAACTAACGGATAAGGATTATTTGTAGTGCAACTTTGTGATTTGAAATGATAAGTTTCAGTATTTTTGAGCCAAACTTCCCCAAACCGGAAGTGCCTCCCATAATTTAAAACGCAGTAGGCTCTTTAGGAAACGGGTGGATACATCTGGCTAATGTTTACACTCCCCAGTGTTTGGACAGGAACCTGATGCAGGTGAAGTTCACAGTTCTCCTGCTCAGATTGTGGTTATGTGTGATTTCTGACAGCATTTGTCTCTTGCTTATGTTTGCTGCATGAATTGTGATTTCAGATGAATTCATTAATGTTGTTATTGTTGGCATGAATGTAGATGATTACAATATATGCAATTACTTGATCTTTGTTGAAAAGCATACTTTCCATGCTCTCTTGTTCTTTGAAATGTACATATTTCTTTCCATTTTACTCAATTTTTTTGGCAAAAAAAAAGATTTAAATGGGGAGAGCAGGAATAAATGTAACACTTTTTGTTTCCCAGAAGATTTTTTTTAGCCTAAATTAACCTCAAATATCTTTGATTACCAGCCTCTATTAAATTTACCTAATTGAGATGGAAAACATTAAACAAGTAATCAAGTATTCTGCATAATTTGAAATGGTGGTACAGTATGTGATGTAACAGAAAATTGAAAATGTAATTATGTGAATGATTCTAGTTCATGTAATTGTCAGTCTACTGTTTGTCTGCTTTTTTTTAATGTATGTTAAGTTTTATAAAGTTTTTTAATTATTATTTTTAGTAGTAGTAGTAAAAAAAAGGCCAACAATGTAACTTTTAAAGGATTTTATGATTTGGTTTATTGTAAATATAATTATGACCCTAAAACTATAAATTCCATATTTTTTTTAGTACGCTTTTAAATTTATTACAACTTTTTTGCTTAATTTGCTTCCACACTGTTGCTTGTATATATATTGCAATGTTTCAGTCATGCAGTTTTTAAAAGTCTGGCAAAGGTCACAATCCTTTCAATACAATTTGATGTTTGATACAGTTCATTCAGATGTTAAAATTTGGGCACAATAAGTGTATTGTGCATTAATTTATGACCTATTACATTTACTGAGTGTTACAGTTGTTCTTGCTCTCCCCTGCTGTTCACCTAGATCAGACCGAGGGAATGATGTGGACTGATCTTTATAGTTTATATAACATTCATTCATGCTAGCAACACATGCGATGATTGAAATGACTTACGAGTGATAGACATATTAGCCTTTTCACTCAGAATGCATACTGACACCATTACTAACTGTACACTTTTAGGGTCCTTTGATTGCGACAGCTTTCACAAATGGATACCATTGAAACCTAACAGGTGGTTGGTTGCCATCTCATTTGAGGTAGATATCCTGTACCATGTATGAAATATATATATATTTTGATTTGTGCCTTCATAATTATGTATCTATTCACTACTATCTTCCTGTTCCATCTGCCTATTCATTTTGATTCCCTCTCATTTTGATCTCAGATGAGTTTACATTGAATCTGTGTAGTGCTTTTATTTTTCATCAACACCGTAGGCTTTTACAGGGCTTTTACATCTCAGACAAGGACATTTAAACTTCATATGCAACAACCTGGTTTTCAGAAGTCTTATCTCTCATTGAACATCTATTTTATTATTGATTCCACATTTTGAAGCCCTTTGAAAGCCTCGCTTCGCAAACACCGCAAGTGTGGCGGCTACACATTTCCCCCTTTACTTTTTATCACTAGTTATCCTCCGCCTGCCTGTCTGTCATTCGACTGTTCCTTTCATGCATGATGTCTGCGAGCGGGTCTACTCAGAACTGCGCAGTTGCTTTCTTTCACTGCCAGAGTTGTATTGCGACAGCCACGGCACTGCGCGCCCGACGCACATCGACTCATATCCTCTGTGAAGTGCTGTATTTGGATATTATGCACAGGTGTTGCGGCTTTGATTAGTGTGCACCTGGAAGCGAGCCCTCTTTGCTGAGAAGCTGTTGACTTAGGTGCCATCTGATGTAATTCATCAGGTTTTTCTGATAAGGCGCTGTTTCCGTAATCACTGTGCTTGTATAGCTAGGTCTTAAGGACTTAAAGGTGATTTTGAGTATATGCTGAGATGCCAGATATGGCTCAATCGGAGATGACTCGCTTATTTAAATGCGGTGTGTGTGGATAAGTGGATGCGCATTTATTCGGTCAAAATCCCTCCCCTATACTTAGTTAATATTTGCACCCAGACTGTTTTTTTCTCTCCTACGGTGAAGCATCAAGTGCGATTACGCCAGACTCTGTGGCTCCGTGGCATTTACCTGTGACCTGTCGTCTGGATAAGAGGCCTGCGGACTGCGGTTTGTTGCCCATAATCTTCCTAAAGAGCTTCTCATTTTGTCCTCGAGGCAAAACGGATGATTGATTTAATGAGTAGGTAGAATCGCTCCGTCTGTATGGATTCTCCAAACGTTTGATTGAAGTACACGTCAGCAGTCAGAGAAAGCAACAGCAGCGGAGAGATATTGCAGAAGCAGGTTCTTAACTTGTCATTTCCTGGTTGAATGGACATCCGAAGAGTTTCTGCATGCTTGATACACTAACATATGTGTCGTGTCGATGTCTGAACCCCATGTAGATAAGATGTGTTCGCATAAAAGTGCCAGTGTGTTCTGTATCTGAGCCTAAACGACCGAACCTTATAATGAAAAGATGCTGACGGTGGAGTGATTCTGACGATATAACATCTCTACTTCAATTTAAAGCTGTCGGCAGCAATCTTTCAGCCGGACTGAATCAATACATGGTTTATGTTTAAACTAGATTTACTGTGTAGGATTGGAAGCTTCAGTTCATCAAACACAATGTACTTCCAAAGCCAATTTGTGCTTTTAAAAACCTTGGCTTTATTAGAAAAACAGTTTGTATTTGAAATTCATGTGGATTGTACAAAATGTCAGAATTTATAAACTACAAGCTGAAAGTTTGTAGTTCACCCATTAAAAATAAAGAAATAAATACAGTTTAAAAAATAAAGAAATAAGGTTTTGGAAGTAAAATTTGTTTTCTTATAAAAATATTAATTTTGGGGGGGGAAAAATGCATACATAACGCAATTTACACTACTGTTCAAACAAAAAGGTATGATTTTTTTTTTTCCAAAATACAGTTAAAATGGTAATATTGTGAATTATCATTACAATTTAAAATGTTTTGAGCTAATATTTTTTTTAATGTAATTTATTCCTGTGATGGCAAAGCTGAATTTTCATTACGTGTCACATGATCCTTCAGAAATCATTCTAATATGCTGATTTGCTGCTCAAGAAACATTCATTTTTATTATTATCAATGTTAACAACAGTTGTGCTGTTTAATATGAAAACTGTGATGCATTTGTTCAGGATTATTTAATGAATAGAAAGTTAAAAAATCAGCATTTATTTGAAAAAGAAATATTTTGTAAAGTTATAAATGTCTGTACTGTCACTTTGATTACATTACTGCATAAAGTCTAACTGACCCCATACTTTCGGACAGTAGTGTATTTGTATACAGATCTATCATTTTAGGATGATTTTTTTTCCTCTCAATGGAAGATAATGAAAAATATGTTTTTGGTAGTCAAATGTGTTCAGAGTTGTCACCAGCAAGGCTCAGATGCAGCACACTTTACACACACACACAGACACACCATTTTCCTGAAAGTATGTGTGAATTTTGAGCAACTTCTCTGTTTGTTTCAGCAGAGTTTATCAGGAGGCCCGGGGAAGACTGGCCGGAGTTTCTAACTGGTTCTGTGTACAGGTAAAGGCCATTAAACTTCAAGCACTACAGCGCTGAACGGGAATCTAAAGCTGAGATGGCGCCACACGAAGAACAAACCGAAACGTCTGAATCATCTCAGAAAGAAGAAAAAAAAAACAAAAACAACTAAACAATCTGCTGTACTATACTGAAAACCTGGCTTTTGAATATTTTATCCTAGTGTAGCCCTGACCTTGAATTAGGATTTTATTAGATTTTTTCCTTTACTGTTTTTCCTTTTAGAAGCATTTTAGTCATCTTTTATTGTGTACACGTTGAATCAAGCAACGTTTGTTTGAGTTTCTAGATGTTCTTCATTGTTCTTGAATGTTCTCTGATGAGAGCGACTATGTAAACATAAAATGTCATTTTTTGTTTTGTTTTGGTAGTAATATTCCAATAGCAGTTTTGTTTCACAGCCCTCGTCTATCACGTTTCATACAAGCAAGAAAACAGATTGAAATGACTCAGCTTGAAATGGTGACATTTTTAATTCAAGCATAAACCGCAATGAGTGGGTAACTCAAAAAAATCTTAGTAGCTCTGTTCTATGTTTATTGTGATGTCTTGTTAACCATGATTACCTATTTTGGGCAATAAGAGGACTACAATATTTTCACAGTCCTTTTTTATAAATGTCATTTTTGTTGTCGATGAAAAAAAAAAAGAAAGAAAAGAAAAAGCTTTCCTTTTAATACTTTGTGAAATGAGATTTAAAAAGAAAATAATTCTGAGACTGTATATATTATTCTGTTCACTGCGTCAAACTGTTTCTGAGAGAGAACCATATTTTTGTGATGGTGTCATCGAGGTTGTATCGTGTGCAAACCGAAATATGTCAGTGCAAAAATATCTTCATGGCTCAATGCAGTAACCGAGGTCCATCTGTAGCACAAAGGCCGTGATTTACCCCAGTACGGACGAAACTCAATCGAACACTGTTAGCTCGCTTTGTAAATACCGTCGGCTTTACAACTGTGCAGGTGTCATACCAGCATATGGATTAGATAGTACGTTAAGATGTGCACAGCTTACAAAGAGAATATACTTTACAAGGTATACAGAAATCAGCATTGTAACAAAAGAAAAAAAATCACGACAAAATCCAAAGCACACATGAACTATGATTTCAAACCGTGCCGAGACATTTCATGTAAGCGTTTCATTTGGCGTTCTGGTGTGAGCTTCTTTTTCCCAGCGCGTGTCGAGATTTTTACGCTATCCGAACGATTCGAATAACAAAGGCAATATTTCAGAATGTTTTGAAATTGCTCTACAATTAGGAAAAAAACAATCTTTTCTACCATTACCTCAGTCCTGTGAGAATTACTTTAAAGGAGATTACAAATTAATTTATTTTAGCCTGAGACAGATATTGAAAAAGATATTAAAGTGTTGTTTTGAAATTAAGTAAATCATTGCACTGTGAGAGAATTTATCATTTTCTATTTGCACATGTGAACTGACAGTCTCTAACATGGGTCATGTGAAGGACCGCTGTGGAAGCCGTTTGTTTCTTTCCACACGGGATAACATTTACGAATCTCGAGTCTTGGCTTGCATTGATTCGAAGACTGTACTTTTAAATAATCTCTTTCCAGGGATTTTATTCTAGAATATCAGAGATGACAGATGAGTTTATTGGTAGCAATAGTTAATTTCCTCAGAAACACTGAAGCTGATTGAAACCAGTAGCTGCTACACACATTTGTTGTACATGTGGGGACTGGATTTGATGAGACACAAATGGCATTTAGAAATATGGATGATATTTACAATATGAATTGACTGATGTATGCTGTTATTCGATCTTGTTGAAAATGTTTTATTTTCGTTTATTTAATTTTTTGTTTGTTTTTTTGTTCATTTCACTAAACTAACAGATGAGGCAGAATGCTGGATTCTTTCTCAAGAAGGAGACGTGATAAAAGTAATGAATTAAAAAAAAAAAAAAAAAAAAGGAGAAGAACTTTGTGCTAACTGTTTGAGTTGTTTTAAAAAAGACAAACGTATAAAAAAAGAAAGAAAGAAAATTATCCCGAACATGTTTTGAATTTAAATAGGGATGGATTTTTATCAATATTTTTGTGGATGTTAATGATTATACTAAATATAACTGACAATAATACAGATAATATGTACTGTATTTATCAATTGTTTCTCTTCATTCCCTGTCACCTCATTCAGTAATCTTATGTTGATCATTGTATTTTAGTAGTGTGTGTTAAAAAAAAAAAAAAAATTCTCAAGAAGGGGACGTGATAAAAGTAATACGATTTTTAAAAATAAGTCAAGAAGAACTTTGTGCTAACTGTTTGAGCTGTTTTAAAAAAGACAAACGTATAAAAAAAGAAAGAAAGAAAATTATCCCGAACATGTTTTGAATTTAAATAGGGATGGATTTTTATCAATATTTTTGTGGATGTTAATGATTATACTAAATATAACTGACAATAATACAGATAATATGTACTGTATTTATCAATTGTTTCTCTTCATTCCCTGTCACCTCATTCAGTAATCTTATGTTGATCATTGTATTTCAGTAGTGTGTAAAAAAAAGAAAACAACAGAAAAAGAAAAAAACAAAACAGGAATATGACTTTACCTTGTAAAAGAGTGCTGTCTTGATACCAGTGTAGTGGTCTATACACTTATTGGTTGGTATTTTTCACATTTCCCCCCCTCTCACTCTCCTTTTGTCGTTTTGCCCTTTCTCTATATCTCACTCTCTCTTTAGTGAGTAGTTGTAGGTGTTATGTACTTAATGTTAAGATGTAGAGGTATTCATTAGCAATTGTAGGACCAGTAAGGATAGAACTTTCTCTTTATAATCATTTAAAGACAAAAAATGCTGAGCGTTATTTTCATAGTAATTTTTCCCTTTTTTTTTTTTTGTTCATTTCACTAAACTAACAGGTGAGGCAGAATGCTGGATTCTTTCTCAAGAAGGGGACGTGATAAAAGTAATACGATTTTTAAAAATAAGTCAAGAAGAACTTTGTGCTAACTGTTTGAGCTGTTTTAAAAAAGACAAACGTACAACAACAAAAAAGCAAGAAAGAAAACTATCCCGAACATGTTTTGAATTTAAATAGGGATGGATTTTTATCAATATTTTTGTGGATGTTAATGATTATACTAAATATAACTGACAATAATACAGATAATATGTACTGTATTTATCAATTGTTTCTCTTCATTCCCTGTCACCTCATTCAGTAATCTTATGTTGATCATTGTATTTTAGTAGGTGTGTGTTAAAAAAAAAAAAAAAATACAGGAATATGACTTTACCTTGTAAAAGAGTGCTGTCTTGATGCCAGTGTAGTGGTCTATACACTTCTTGGTTGGTATTTTTCACATTTCCCCCCTCTCATTCTCCTTTTGTCGTTTTGCCCTTTCTCTATATCTCACTCTCTCTTTAGTGAGTAGTCGTAGGTGTTATGTACTTAATGTTAAGATGTAGAGGTATTCATTAGCAATTGTAGGACCAGTAAGGATAGAACTTTCTCTTTATAATCATTTAAAGACAAAAACAAAAAATGCTGAGCGTTATTTCCTTAGAAATTTTTCTTTCTTCTTTTTTCTCCTTTTTGTTCCACTGTTTTGCTGGTCTCACATGGTTTCAACTAACCAAAGCTCTCACTGATGAAATCTAGGAGAAAGAAATTGCTGTACGACAGAATTGTAATCAAGGCATTAATTGGATCCCCACCCTTGAATGTTTTAAAAGGGGTGTGCCATACTACCTTAAATGCTAATGCTAGATATGTTTTACTTTCGTTCTTTTTTAAGAGGGATGCAAGCTATAATTATGAAGAGGGTGATTTTATTACATGAATTAAAAATTCATAAATATTTTTTTAGTAAGTTCTAACAAAGTAATGATGATATAGGCTAATCATTATAGATATGGATAAAACTGTCATGGGTTTTTGATATCCCAGTGGCCTACGGCACTATTCCTTTTTTTGTTTTTTTTGTTTTTTAATACTTCTTTTTTGGATTTATTTTTATGCCTAGATTAATACATACTTTAGTTTTGAGTCACCTGGGAATATGATTGTTTTTGTACATTTTAATTGCATTGCCAGCTTTTCATTTTAATCCAGCATCTACGTTCGACACCAAACAGCACGTCACACTAATTAGCTTGACTTTAGTGTAAATCCAGTGTCACTCTGAATCTGTATTCCTGAATCACATCTGTTCTCAGGGATATCAAACATGAGCCACCTTCGCAAGGGAGATTTTTATCCTACTAGTGAGTTACGATCAGCACAACTTTTAATGAAAGGTGTCTAACTCAAGTTTATTCAATACATTTGAGCAAAATGTTAAGGTGCTGTCGGGATGAAACGTGCACGGCATTTTCTTCCTGACGACATCTTTATAAAATGCAACGCTAGGCGGTTAGTTGTTCTTAGTTGGACGTCTCTTTCTTAACAAGTTGAGTATCCAGCATCCATTTAGGCTTTGGTACACATTTAGATGGTCCGCAATTAAGGCAAATGTTTAACAGCAGCTGAAGCACATTTCCCTTCTGCTGTGACTCTTGATTAAAATGAAGGCTGGCAACTCTTTTAAACAGTCTTTTCCATTCGTATCCGTTAGCTTACCCAGTTTTTCCCCTAATTTGATTTTGTAGCTTGGACTTTAAGGTAGCATGGCTCTGTTGCCATCATTTTGTTTTCCATGGACAGCAGTTTACAGAGGATGAATGTTACACATCTTGCTAGACTAGTTAAATCATTGGAAAATTGTTGGTTTAACAAAAAAAAAAAAATGAAAATGAAAAAAGAAAATGACCTGGAAGGTGTTGAGTGATTTTGGGAGTGAACTACCGTATCCATTTAAACTTGAATTTTGCGGCAAGTGCTAGGCAATGGCCAAAACGATCATCCCACTAATAAAGCAGCAAAACGTTCTACACTGTAATGTCTAATGTACAGTATACTTGATATATATATGTATAGTGTATATATCTCTTTGTTAAATTGTTGAAACTGCCTCATGACTCATCATCGTAGGTGAACTGATGCTAGTCCACATTGTTCGACAAAAATAAATAAAATAAAAGTTTTGAACCATTTCACTCATGGTTTTTATTTTCAACTTTTTTCAAGCAATTGATTTGTGATTCAAAAGAAATTAATATACCTGCAAAAGATTGTATGCCAGAACATGCACAACGATTAAAATGCACAAAGTTGAATACAGAGCCCAACAGCTCTTGTGTAAGTTTGTTTTCATTCTCACATTTGTTTACATCTGTAAATTTGATTCTGACTTGTTAAAGGCTACACACATAGTGAGATGCATATTATATAATTGTAGAAATACTTCATTAGAGTAATGCTGTGCCACTGGTGTGGGTCATATATATGCTCTGAAAGGGTCACAGGCATAAAATAAATGGGTCATTCCACGAAATCGGTGCCTTTTGCGTCCCTAAGAAATAATCAAACATAGATTTAATATAACAACAAATAAATGTGCAGTTTTAAAACATCATAATACTATGTATGTTTTCATCAATATTACATTAAAAAAAAGTCAATTAAATATTATTTTAAATCATTTAAATAGCATTTATGCTGGTAAGGGTAAGGTTTTTTGCCTGTCCCTCACTATGATTTTTCTTTTTCAGCAGGACTTTTTATTTGCAAAATGAAGGCAAAACGATATAAAAATCACATTTGCATATTGTTCTTAATATAGTGTCATTGTTAAGCATTGTTTTTGGCACAAGTATGCATTTTTTCTATAAAATATAAATCATTGTATTGGTGTCCCCTGATTTCATGTCAGCACTGTTACCCTCATCAAAAAACCCTTGTAAAATAATGTACATTCAAGAGACGATTTCTAGGAGGTTACATCATCTCTCAACCAGGATTCCTACACTTAAAACACAAGCATGTTTCTCTCTCACTTCTATAATGTTCTATTTTTGATGATTTATGAGGCTTGACTGAGGGGAGGGGGGGGGGCATCATGCAACGTCTATCCTGTTACCATTTTTAAAATGTACATTTAAACAATTATTTCTTACATTTAATATAATCAATATCTGCACGTAAAATCCTTTCAAAGTGTACAATATGTGGTTTTGTGAACTTAACTATTAGCTAGCAATTAGCAAATTTGTTTGAAATCGTCAAACCTGTTACTGTCAACCTGTTACTTTTTAGAGTAACAGGTTTTGACATATGGGTAACGGGTGACATTGATTAGGTTTGATCCTGTTTTTAAAGATTGTCTGTGTAAAATTCAAACATTTTAAAGGTTTTAAAGGTATATTATTTGCCTATATCATTCAGTGGCATATGAGTTCTAATTAAACTAGTAATGATTGTGTCGGTAACAGGGTTGACAAAAATACCAAAACATGAGGTAGAAAGATGATAAATTAATAAATTACATAGCCTGAGATGGCACATATACAATTTCTTGTCATTTTAAGGTGTCTTCATTTCATGGATATTTAAAAAATATTTATTAAACTTATTTTATTTTTCCAAGTGGAAAAGGCACTGATTTCGTGGAATGACCCAAATACAATTCAACTAAAAAAAAGTGCATTGATAGAATAATGACATAAATAGGCTTAAGTGGAACAAGTGTCTTTTATTGTTGATTTCCAAGTCTGTGCCCATTATTGTATTTTTGGCCCCAATTCATCTTTTACATGGTAGAAGCAGCTAGATTAGACGGATGCCAACACAGACAGTTCTTGACATGCCCTCATCCTTGATAACCATGAACAAAACTATGCAGGGTAATACAAATATTAAATACAAGTTCACTTGCCAAGAGGATAAACATGGTTTCTGAACACATTGTTATGTGCGGTGAATTATTGGCTGCCATGAGCAAAAAACCAAATTCATTTGACATTTACAAAATAAACGATCCAACTACAATGACTATAAATCACACTTCTCTGTTGTTTATGCATTTATAAAATTGTCGGTTTTGAAATTCTGCCAATTTTTTGTTCGTAATCTTGCATATTGCTGGGCCTGTGCAGTTCATGGTAATATTTTTAAATGTTTGGTTTTATCAGAATGTTACTATTTAAATAATCTGGTACTGTGTTGGCTCTCCATTTGATGTCCATTTTATGAGCCTAAAATACGAAGATTGTTTTAATTAAGTGAAATAATTATAGCGATCTTTATATAATGTTTTGAAATGAGTAGCGAGACATTAAAATGTAATCACCAGAAAAAAGTGA